TTGCAGCCATAAGTTCCTGCAGCAAAGTACACAGCCGAAACGGCGAAAGGAAACATGCTGCTGATAACCTCCCTGCACTCCATAAAACAACTGGTCTTGCTCGTGAAAGGTCACGGTGAGCCAAGTTCAGTCTGTCTTCCAACGTGCCGGGCTCTTCCCTGTTCACTCCTCTTGCAAAAGGAATGCGGTTCCAACAGACCCGGCCACATTGGGGAGGGGAAAAGATTATAAACTGTAGCTGAAAAGACATAGCCCTGAAATAACAAAACAATTAGTTCCAATTCTGCCAGACTAAATTCCCCTTCAGTAATGAATCTTTCATATACATATAAACCATACACATAATGGCCAGTTACTTTATACAAGGTGATAAGAGAGAAGTATTTGAAACCCTCTCACTTAGAGGAAAGCAGTTCCTTTTGGCAGCCGAGGAGGGGGTAACGGGTTCCAATTATGGGCAGGAAGGTACCAGCTGGATAGTAGGGATTTTTCTTTTACAGTTCAGCAGTGGAATCGGCTGCCTTGGGAGGTGGTGAGCTCCCCCTCACTGGCAGTCTTGAAGCAGTGGCTGGACAAACACGGGAACAAAGTTTGAGTCCAACAAATGTTTAAGTGTGCACTTTTATGTATAAAAGTGGACCCAAAAAGTGATTCACACATGGAACTCACTGCCACAGGAGGTGGTGGCAGCTACAAGCATGGATGGCATCAAGAAGGAATTAGATAAGCATATGGAGCAGAGGTCCATCGGTGGCTATGAGCCACAAGGTGTAGGTAGGAACTCTCAGTCTGGGGCAGGTGATTCACTGTCTTCTTGGTGCTTTCGGGGGGGGGGCAACAGTGGGAGGGCTCCTAGTGCCCTGGCCCCACTGCCGGACCTCCCAGTATTTTTGGCCACCGTGTGACAGAGTGTTGGACTGGATGCGCCTTTGACCTGATCTAACACTGGCTTCTCTTATGTTCTTATAAGAGGGAATTGGATAAGCATCTGTAGCAGAGGCCCATCAGTGGCTATTAGCCACAAGGTATAGATAGGGGCTCTGGGGCAAGTGATGCACTGTTGGTGTTTGGGGGGGTCAACAGTGGGAGGGCTTCTGGAGTTCTGGCCCCACTGCTGGACCTCCTGAGGGCACCTCGGTTTGTCTCTTGTCTTGACCTGGATGGCCTAGGCTGGCCCGATTTCGTCATATCTCAGAAGCTAAGCAGGGTCGGCCCTGGTTGGTACTTGGATGGGAGACCACCCAGGAAGCCCAGGGTTGCTATGCAGAGGCAGGCAAATAGCAAACCCACCTCTGTTTGTCTCTTGTCCTGACCTGGATGGCCCAGGCTGGCCCAATCTCTTCGTATCTCAGAAGCTAAGCAGGGTTGGCCCTGGTTAGTGTCTGGATGGGAGACCACCCAGGAAGCCCAGGGTTGCTATGCAGAGGCAGGCAAGGGCAAACCACCTCTGTTTGTCTCTCGTCCTGGCCTGGATGGCCTGGGATGGCCCAGTCTAGCCGTTGCCAGTTGAAGTAGACAACACTGACCTTGAGGGACCGGTGGTCCGATTCAGGAGAAGGCGGCTTTCGTGTGCTCATGTCTGTGTGTTCTCTCCGACAGGGCCTTGCCCCAGTGAGGTGTCTGGCACCAAGACCCATTTCCCTGTCTCCGGCTCCTTGGAAGAAGCGGCCTGGAGCTCAGCAGTGGAGAGCCAGGATGGAGCCTCCCTGACCGTGGCCATCTGCTCCCCTCCGGACGCCCGGATTGGCCGCTACAGCCTCACCATGGAGGCCTCCACGGGCTACCAAGGATCCAGCTTCAGGCTTGGGGAGTTCGTCTTGCTCTTCAACCCTTGGTGTCCAGGTGGGTGTTTTTATGACCGCCCTGTGAGGTCCAGGTGGGTCTCGCAACTCCCCACCTTCCCCGTCACACCGTCCGGTAGCATTGACCAAGATGATTTTCGTTTCGGGGTGGGCCATAAGCGGTCAAGAAGGCAGTTTGAATGAGTCACTGTGTTGGAATTGCAGCCTGCGGTGGCTCAAGTGGTTAAGACGCTGAGCTGCAGACCGGAAGGTCTGTCGTTCGGCAGTTCGAGACCCAAGTGCCGCGTGACAGAGTGAGCGCCCGTCTCTGGCCCAAGCTCCTGCCAACCTAGCAGTTCGAAAGAAAGAAAGAAATTGCAGGTAGATAAATAGGTACCACTTTGGTGGGAAGGTCACAGCGTTCCGTGCGCCTTGGCACCTAGTCATGCCGACCACATGACCATGGAAATGTCTTCAGATAGCGCTGGCTTTTCGGCTTGGAAACGTAGATGAGCACCAAATCCCTAGAGTTGTATTTGACTGGCTTTCGAGCAAGGGAAACCTTTACCTTTACCTATTCTAGGGGAAACCTGGGGAAGTAATTCCCAAGGAAATTTCTCTTGCTTCCCCCCTTTCCTTCTGGAGTGAGTCACACCAACACCGTCTTTTCACAACACGGAGAAATAAGTTTATTGTCTCTTCCTTAGAAGGGCTCAGTGCTGGGTGGTGGGTAAGACAAGGAGTCTAACCAATTAGGATTCTTTGCAGCCGGGGACAGCAAAACTCTTCCTTAAAACAGTTTCTCTTTCACACGCTCTCCTGGCAACCGGCAGGGGGTGAGAGGGACTTCCCAGGAGAAAGAGGAGGACACGGGCCACGTTGCCAGCAGTGCCACACCGGAAGGGATGGCATCGTGCTGTGACATTACTGTGGTGCTCTGGCATTTGGGCAAAAGCTCTATGGTAAAAATGGCTTCTGCAAGGGAGATTTTTCCCAAATACTGGAGTGTCCTCTGGACGTCCCTGGAATGGTTACAACATCACTTCCCATTTTAGGGTTGTCGGGTCCTACCTGCAATCCGGCAGGCGTCCCTTCCTCCTCAAACCCCGCCCAGACTACGGTCCCCTCCAAAATTCCCAGGTATCTCCCAGCCCAGAGTTGGCAACTGTAGTTGTGGCAGGCAAGATTTGAACCAAGGACCTCCCGGGTCTGTAGCTCAGTCTCTTGGCCCTTGAGCTGCACCGATTGCAGCAGTTCGAGACCCGGGTGCCGCATGATGGAGTGAGCTCCCGTCTCTAGTTCCGCCTCCTGCCAACCTAACCGTTCAAAAGCAAGAAATTGCAAGTAGATAAATAGGTACCACTTCAGTGGGAAGGTAACAGCATTCCGAGCGCCTTGGTGTTTAGTCATGCCGGCCACATGACCACGGAAACGTCTTCGGACAGCGCTGGCTCTTCGGTTTTGAAACGGAGATGAGCACTGCAACCCTAGAGTCGGATTCGACTGGCTTTCGAGCAAGGGAACCTGTACCTTTACCTTTAATATCGCTTCAGGTCAAAAAGAGCCACTTAGTGGGCCGACAACCTTTTGTCTCCGTCCGCTTTCAAACTGGGTTTCTGTACGTGCTCAAATGCGAGGTTATTAGTTTCTTAAAGTTTCTACATTTCAAGTCGTACCACCCATTTGTAGAACAGGAGTGAGTATTTGGGGGTCTGTCATTGATAAGCAATGGCTTTATAATTTGTACAATCTCTTCATAGTGTTGAATTACATTCGCTTCTGATCCTAATAGAACTTGTCTCCTGTCCTTGATATCAGCAGTCTCCAAAGCAACCTACACTGTTTTTGTAGCTGTTCTGACCACCTATGTCTCCTGTAGTCAGGGGTTAAATCTACAGTGGGGTCAGATGTAGAGGCCAAAAGAATACAACTGTTAAAATGTAATACTAGCTTTAGTGGACAATGATCACTAATTGGACTATCACTTACTTCAAAATAGTCGACTTGGTCGAAAAGTGCAGGTGAAACGCCTAAATAATCTATTGTGCTGGCATATAATGAGGATAGATATGGATAAGGACCTCCAGACTTGTCAGAACTTGTCCCGTGCGGGACATAAAGACTAAACATGGAGAACAACTCTAGAAGTTTGAGCCCAGATTTACTAATTACAGAGTCTACTGAGTGGCGATCCAAAAGAGATGCTTGTTCAGCTACATAGGTATGGGTAAAGGTAACGGTTCCCTTGCTCGAAAGCCAGTCGAGTCCGACTCTAGGGTTGCGGTGCTCATCTCCATTTCCAAGCCGAAGAGCCAGCGCTGTCCGAAGTCGTCTCCATGGTCATGTGGCCGGCATGACTAAACACCAAGGCGCACGGAACGCTGTTCCCTTCCCACCGAAGTGGTCCCTATTTATCTACTTGCAATTTCTTGCTTTCGAACTGCTAGGTTGGCAGGATAGGTATGAGTATCCGTACATAATATGAAATTTCCTGAGCCTGTCCTACGTCCTCAAATGCAGTCTTACTTCAAGACATTTATTTATTTATTTATTTATTATTAAATTTATACCCCGCCCTTCCCCGTAGGGCTCAGGGCGGCTAACAAGGCAAGAAAAGGCTTGCAAGTAAAACATCGGTACACTAATGCAGTTAAAACAACATGTACAATTTAAAACCACTAAAACAATTAAAGTGCTCAGTAACCAATCATTCTGGAATCTCAGGAACTCAAAGAGGGCGACCACAACCCTAACACACCCCAGCATTCCCAGTAGGCATTGATTAGATGTTAGATGTTAATAATAGTTTTACCCGGCCTCCTAGCCCTAACCTCCCCCAAGATGGTATATAGCCGGGCGGGGGGCGGCAGTGGGCAGTGGCGGCCCCTAACCAAAGGCCTGGTGGAAGAGCTCCGTCTTGCAGGCCCTGCGGAACTGCACTAGGTCCCGCAGGGCCCGGATCTCCTCCGGGAGCTCGTTCCACCAGGTGGGGGCCGCCACTGAGAAGGCCCTAGCCCTTGTGACGGCCAATGTAGCATCCTTGGGGCCCGGAACAGTTAGAAAATTCTGGGGCCCAGACTGTAGCGCTCTTGGGGGAACGTACGGGGAAAGGCAGTCCCTCAAGCATTTTTAAACCAGAGACATTTTAGGTGCCCCCCCTGGGAGGCCTGGCTCACCCCCCTTCATTGCCCTGGGCCTCTGCCGTCTTCCTGCTACAGCCGCATCTGTGCTTTCTCTGCTCTGCAGTGGATTCCGTCTTTCTCGAAAGCGAAGAGGAGCGGACTGAATACGTGCTGACTCAGCACGGCCACGTCTTCCAGGGGTCGAGCAGCTTCATCTATTCCATCCCCTGGAATTTTGGGCAGGTGAGTGGTTCTTGTGTCCTGGGGGGCTGCCCTTCTGGTGGGAGCATCCCAGGCCTCTGCAGGTCCAGTTTGGTGTGGTGGTTAAGTGCGCGGACTCTAATCTGGGAGAACTGGGTTTGATTCCCCCACTCCTCCGCTTGCACCTGGCTGGATGACCTTGGGCAAGCCGCAGTTCTGACAAGAGGTGTCCTTGAAAAAGAGCCCTTTCTGTCAGAGCTCTCTCCGCCCCACCAACCTCCCAGGGTGTCTGTTGTGGGGAGGGGAAGGGAAAGGAGTTTGTAAGCCGCTCTGAGACTCTGAGCAAAGGGTGGGATATAAATCCAATCTCTTCTTCTTCTCTTTTGGTGTAGTGGCTAAGTGCGCAGACTCTAATCTGGGAGAACCGGGTTTGATCCCCCACTCCTCCACTCGCACCTGCTGGATGACCTGGGGCAAGCCCTAGTTCTGTCAGAGCTGTTCCTGAAAAAGAGCTGTTTCTGTCAGAGCTCTCTCCGCCCCACCGACCTCTCAGGGTGTCTGTTGAGGGGAGGGGAAGGGAAAGGAGATTGTAAACCGCTCTGAGACTCTGAGTGAAGGGTGGGATATAAATCCAATCTCTTCCTCTTCTTCTTTTGGTGTAGTGGCTAAGTGCGCAGACTCCAATCTGGGAGAACCGGGTGAGATTCCCCACTCCTCCACTTGCACCTGCTGGATGACCTTGGGCAAGCCGTAGTTCTGATAAGAGCTGTCCTTGAAAAAGAGCAGTTTCTGTCAGAGCTCTCTCAGCCCCACCAACCTCACAGGGTGTCTGTTGTGGGGAGGGGAAAGGAAAGGAGTTTGTAAGCCGCTCTGAGACTCCCTTGGGTGGTGAAGGGCGGGGTATAAATCCAATCTCTTCTTCTTCTTCTACTTACCCTGGGGATATTTATCTCCTTCCCCCAAAATCCTAGAACTCGAGGTAATCCAATAAAGCCGACGGGCAGTAGGTTCAGGATGGATTTTAAAAATTCCATGTTACACAGTGATTAAAATGTGGAATTTGATGTGGTGATGGCCACAGGAGTAAGCAACTTTAAAAGGGGATTTGTTATATCCATGGAAGAGAAGTCTATTAATGGCTACTAGCCCTGGTGACTGAGGGGATCCTCCACATTCAGGGGCACTAATCCTCTGAATCACAGTGCCAGGAGGCAACGTCAGGGAAAGGCCTCAGCCTCAGCCTCTCTGTCCTGTTGTTGGCCCTCCAGAGGCCTGTATGCTCCTCGGCTGAATTGGCAGCTGCCTGCCTGGAGTCCTGAAATATCCTGGGTTCGAGACGCGCGTAGTGATCAGCTCGTCGTTTATCTGTGATTTCAGCTTAACTCTAAGACGACTCTAGCAGGGCCAGAGCCCCGCTTATATGCATGCAAAACACCACACACACACAGTCCCCGTGATAGGCTATTTACAAAACATTACTCCTTGATTGGTTTATTCCAGAGTCCTGGTCGGCTATTGTTCTTGTGCTCCAAGCTCAGCCAGTCTCTAGGGTGATTCAATCAGGGATGATTCGATCCCAATACATAACAGGTCCCCTTTCCCCTTCCCATTGGGGAGCCTTCTAGGGCTTGTCCCCTGGCTCTTGCTGGCCTAAGGAATTCGGTCTGCCTGTGTCCCACCCTGTGTCCCACCCTTCCAAAGGAGCCTTCCCGGCTCCCACAACAGATGAGAAAAGGGCCACCACCTGTGGCGGGCTCTGCAGCTCCTCCTCTGCCACCCGTGTCTCGGTGGCCAGCCCCTGGGGGTTCGGGCCACAAACAGACCATGGTGACTAACCAAAGGTTGCACCCCACCAATGCTCACTGTGGGAAAAATTGATTCGATTCCAGTTAGAGTCCACAGACTTGCTTCTTCTTTTGTTCTTTTATTTTACGTCATGCAGAACTGCTGCTGCTGCTACCAGACAATTGCCGTGCTCTAAGCCTCCTACTCGGAGCTGCGGTGGCTCAAGTGGTTAAGACGCTGAACTGCAGGCTGTGGAATGTTGGTAGTTCAGCAGTTCGAGACCTGAGTTGCCGCATGACGGAGTGAGCTCCCGTCTCTAGTTCCAGCTCCTGCCAACCTAGCAGTTCGAAAGCAAGAAATTGCAAGTAGATAAATAGGTACCACTTCGGTGGGAAGGGAACAGCGTTCCGTGCGCCTTGGCGTTTAGTCATGCCGGCCACATGACCACGGAAGCGTCTTCGGACAGCGCTGGCTCTTCGGCTTTAAAACGGAGATGAGCACCGCAACCCTAGAGTTGGATTCGACTGGCTTTCGAGCAAGGGAACCTTTACCTTTACCTAAGCCTCCTATTCAGGTTGCGGTCACTCGCGCCAGATGAAGCGGGGGGGAAGCGAGGCTATTTCCTCCAGAGGAACGTGACCTGCAGTTGCGCGATCACACAGTCCTTGGAAGCTGTGGGAACCCAGTGCCGAAACTCATTTCGAACAAGTTAAAAATGTAACAAGTTTTGTAATCTTTTATGATGTCTTTTTAAGGCTAAAGAGAACATCCCACAGTAAAAACGTCCCACTGTTTTAAAAAAAGCAACCCACACTTCTGGATATGAAAATGCTCAGGGGCCTGATTTGGAAGAGTGGGAAGTCAAGGTTTGTGCGTTGGCTGGACCCACGTCCTCAGCGCCTGTCTGAAATTCCGTGCACACTCCAGTCATAAAAGATTATGAAGACTGCGATCATACACACAATTAGACCCACCATAGGTGCGAATGCCGGGCAGATTTAAAGGGCGCGATCAGACAAGAACATCTGGGAAGCACCCTGCAGCCGTCGGCAACCCGTTCTGCTCCGCCACAGAAGTGGAGTTAAAAGACACCAGGGAAAACCCGGTAGTAAACGGGTTGCAACGGGCCACGGACGGACTTTCCCGTGTCTGATCGCTCCAGCGTGCTCTCTTGGAATTAAAGAGGTTAGTTTCTCTGGAGAAAAGGGCCACCTTAGAAGAAGAAGAAGAAGAGAAGAGATTGGATTCATACCCCACCCTTCCTTCAGAGTCTCAGAGCAGCTTACAAACTCCTTTCCCTTCCCCTCCCCACAACAGGCACCCTGTGAACAGTGTTCCCTCTAAGCTGAGTCAGTGTGAGCCAGCCCACAGTTTTTTAGCCTTCGGCTCACAGATTTTTGTCTTCGCTCAGGAAGGAGGGCTCCAGAGCAAACTAATTTATGCAGCAGCCCAATCGCTCACTCACAACTTTAATGCCGGTAGCTCACCAAGTAGACTTTTTGTTCACAAGACACCGCAGCTTAGAGGGAACATTGCCTGTGAGGTAAAAGGAGAAGAAGAGATTGGATTTATACCCCGCCCTTCACTACCCGAAGGAGTCTCAGAGCAGCTTAGAAACTCCTTTTCCTTTCCCACCCCACAACAGACACACTGTGAGCAATGCTCCCTCTAAGCTGTGGAGTCTTGTGAGCAAAAATTCTACTTTGTGAGCTACCGGCATTAAAGTCGTGAGCGAGCCATAGGGCTGCTCTGGAGCCCTCCTTCTTGAGTGAAGACAAAAATGTGTGAACCTGAGGCTAAAAAACTGTGAGCCAGCTCGCCGTAACTCAGCTTAGAAGGTACACTGGTTTGTAGCGATTATCACAGTTTAAATAGTCGGGGGAATTAAAATGAGATTTGGCATACGGACTGCTTGTTTGAAGTTCTCCAGGGGAACTGATCTCTTCAGCCAGGAGTTGTTCCTGGCAGGGGTCATTTCATAGAAAAAGAGGTGCAGGGGCTCATTAGCATAATTCATTAGCATAACTTATTTGCATATGCCACACCCCCTGATGTCACGGGAAGTGTGCCAGAAGGCAACACCCACCACTCAGGCTCCACTGGACTGTTTTGGATTGCTAGCTATTGGGGGGGGGGGAACGTGTGGATCTGCCCTCGCAGAGGAGGGAGAGCTGGTACCTGAGTCAAACTTGGTCTTAAAGATGCCACTGGACTGTTTTGGGCTGGGGGGGGGTGCTCTGCAACTTACTTGGCTGCTTCTTGCTCTGACTGAGGGCTGCTGGGAGCAGGGGGTGGGGCTTGTTGCATGTGCCCACCCCCTGGGCTCTTTACTGCCGGAGCTTCGCTCCTGTGCGCTCCTGCAGGAAATGACCCCTGGTTCCTGGAGACTGCCAGGACCCACCTGGAGGTTGGCAACGTATCAGACTCCGTTTCCCCACAAAAATAGGATTAGATGGGATTAAGTGGGACTTCTGGTGGCGCTTAAGACAGGGCTATTGGGTTTCACTTTGTTTACTCATTGCAGACCTAAATCACAGCGTGAGCATAAACATTTATATTAAAACAATGTCGGAAGAGTGCGAAAACATCAGCCAAAGAATGATGGGCTCTCACTGACCGCCTAAGGATGAGAATAGTTATTTTGATTTACACTCGCTAAAAACACCCCAACTCAGGATAAAAGCAATCCTCAGACAGTTTCACAAAGGGAATTCACACGATCCAAGCCACGATCAAGTCATGCCAGTGAAAAAGTAGATGCCTTCTGTCTTGACTTGGATAAGAACATAAGAACATAAGCCAATGTTGGATCAGGCCAGTGGCCCATCCATTCCAACACTCTGTGTCACACAGTGGCCAAAAATACCAGGTGCCATCAGGAGGTCCAGCAGTGGGGCCAGGACACTAGAAGCCCTCCCACTGTTGATTCCCCAAGCACCAAGAAGACAGAGCATCATTTGCCCCAGACCAAGAGTTCCTATCTATACCTTGTGACTAATAGCCAGTGATGGAACTCTCCTCCAGATGTTTATCCAATTCCCTCTTATAAGAACATAAGAGAAGCCAATGTTGGATCAGGCCAATGGCCCATCCAGTCCAACACTCTGTCACACAGTGGCCAAAAATACCAGTGCCATCAGGAGGTCCAGCAGTGGGGCCAGGACATTGGAAGCCCTCCCACTGTTGACCCCCCCCCCCAGCACCAAGAAGACAGAGTATCACTTGCCCCAGAGTTCCTATCTATACCTTGCGACTAATAGCCACCGATGGACCTCTGCTCCATATGCTTATCCAATTCCCTCTTGAAGCCATCCATGCTTGTAGACGCTGGCACCTCCTGTGGCAGTGAATTCCATGTGTTCATCACTCTTTGGGTGAAGAAGGACTTCCTTTTATCTGTTCTAACCCGACAGCTCAGCAATTTCATGGAGTGCCTGGATTAGCCCAGGCCAGCCCGATCTCATTAGATCTCGGCTGCTAAGCGGGGTCAACTCTGGCAAGTACTTGGATGGGAGACCTCCTTGGAATACCAGCGGTCGGGAGGTGGGGGCAGGCTTTACTCAGCTACCTCTTTGAATATCCTCCAGGCCTCCAGTAGGGGTCAGTCGCCAGAGGTCGCCATGACTTCCAGGTGCATGCATGTACACACACACATACACAAGGTTGATGCCTTCTGTCTCATCGGCTGGTAGTATCACACACAAAAATTTTTTTGCAAGGGGCATCCACTGTCCTAGACCTTTAACAGAGCAGGGTAATTGCAATAAATGGTTTGAAGTATTTTGTGACTTGAAAAGCACTTTATCGGTGAGCGGTCATAAATCCCAGAGCTCCTGGACAGTAAAAAGTGTTCCAAGCGAAGGCAAATCAGTCAGTCATCGGGTTGCCACGTCCTACCTGGTTGCTGGTTTGGGGACTCCCATCCTTCCCGAATGGCACTCTAGGTTTTGGGCAAAACTCTATGGGTGTTTGGGCCTCAAAACCATCGAGTCTTGCCCAAATCCTAGAGCATCGCCCCCAACGTCAGAAATGGGTGATGTCATCACGCTGGCAGCCCCAGGAGGGGGCTTCGTGGGGTGCGGCTTCCGCCACCAACCAGCTGGGCTATGGTGGATTGGGCCTCCCAAAATTGGGGGATCCCCTGGCCCCACCAGGTGAATGACACCCCTAATCCGTCAGCTCCAAGCCTGGCTGATCCTAGCAAAATTCTCCCCTGCTAAACGATTTTGCATTCCTTTCCTCTCCTCGCCCAGGTTTCCTTCCATTCAATGCACTTTTCCCTCTTTATTTAATGGGGTTACTCCTGTTCTGCGGAGCCCCCCCCCCCCGGTGCCTGTCTCGCCTGATCCTTGCGTGGGGCCCCAGAGGGGAGGCATCTCCCTGCTCCGATTCTCTAATCTGTCCTGCACAAGCAGGGCCGGAGGCACGAAGTTGTCCGGCTGCCAGGCAGAGCCTTCCTGAGTTCCGAGATAAACGGGGCTCCGGAGGTGCCTGGGAAACCGCTGCTCCTTGGTGATTGTGGAGCCCGGCTGCAGAGCCGGGGCTGAATTAGCAGCACAACTTCTGCAAAGGCTGCACTAGTTGCTCCCACACCGAGGCTTTGCTCCAGTAGGGAGGCCAAACTGGAGCTTTGGAGCACCCGCGCACCATTGTCCAGCCTTACCCAGATGTTGCCTCCTGGCACTGGGATTCTGAGGTTTAGTGCCTCTGAACATGGAGGTTCCCTTTAGTCACCATGACTACTGGTCACTGATAGAGCTCTCCTCCGTGAATCTGTTGAATCCTCTTTTAAAGCCACCTATTCTTGTGGCCATCATAAGAACATGAGAAGAGCCCTGCTGGATCAGACCAGTGAAGGTCCATCCAGTCCAGCATCCTGTCTCACACAAAAGCCAACCAGCTCCTCTGGAGGGCCAACAACAGGGCAGAGAGGCCGAGGCCTTCCCCTGGTATGAAACTAAGAAGAGCCCTGCTGAATTAGACCAATGAGGGTCCATCTAGTCCAGCATCCCGTCTCACACAGTGGCCAGCCATTTCCTCTGGAGGAGCAAACAAATAGGACATAGAGGCTGACGCCTCCCCTTATAAGACCTTGGGCAAGCCATAGTTCTGACAAGAGGTGTCCTTGAAAAGGCAGAGAGAGCTCTGACAGAAACTGCTCTTGAGAGAACAGCTCTGACAGAACTATGGCTTGCCCAAGGTCATCCAGCAGCTGCAAGTGGAGGAGTGGGGAATCAAACCCGGCTCTCCCAGATTAGAGTCCGCACACTCAACCACTGCACCAAACTGGCAGGAAGGGAGGGCAGGAAGGGTTGCCTCAGTGCTTAGCTCTTGTGGCCCTTTCTCACATGCCCAGGGAAATGCTGATTGCCACGTTGGGGTCCGGAAGCAATTTTTCTCCGGGCCACTTTGGCCCGGGATCCTGGAGGTTTTTTTTTTACCTTCCTCTGGCCACTGGGGGAATGGGGGGGGTAGTTGTGAATGTCCTGCATTGTTCAAGGGCTTGGACTAGATGACTCTGGGAGTTCCTTTCAGCTCTTTGTTTCTATGAATGTGTGGACTCCAAACCCGCCCCTCGAGACGCTTCACATGTTATTGAACATGGGTTTAGGTTTTATATATTTATCTGTCTGGTCCCTTTGAACTTTTTGCAAGTGTTTGTCTTGAGGTGGAGCCTCCAGATGCCTTTCGCAGTAACTCAGCAGGCAAAAGGTGGAGGCGGCTCTCTGACGGAAGCCCCCAAGGATGAGGCATGACCCCCTCCCTCCCTTGCATCCCCTGGGATCCTCACGCCTCCATTCCTCATCCCTCTGCCTTCTGTCTCTTCCTCCTCCTCCTCCTGCACTAGTTTGAGGATGAAATCCTGGACATTTGCCTCCAGCTGCTGGACACCAACCCCAAGTTCTTCCAGAACCAAGACCGGGACTGCTCCCGTCGCAACAGCCCCATCTACATCAGCCGGGTGGTGAGCGCCATGGTGAATTGCAACGACGACCAAGGAATCCTGTTTGGGCGCTGGAAGCAGCCCTACGACGACGGAATCAGCCCCATGGTCTGGAGTGGGAGCGTGGACATCCTACAGCGGTGGCGGAAGTACGGCTGCCAGCCGGTCCGATACGGGCAGTGCTGGGTCTTTGCCGCCGTGGCCTGCACAGGTAAGACATCCCCAGCCAATTCCAGGCGGGCTGGAATCTAAGTGAGGACCAGGGGCCTTTCTGCACCCCTGCTCGGTTTCTGAGCGCATCCTATTCTTCCGTCCTGCGTTCCCTCCCGCTTTCACTTCCACTTCCACTTTGTGTCGGGGCTTTCTCTTGTTTCTCCATGTGTTTTACAGGAATCTGCATTCGGACCGCTTCCAGCACACCGTTGCCCCGCAGCTACCAAAACTCCTCTTGCTGCGATTCTTTGTTCTCATCCAGTTTGGTGTAGTGGCTAAGTGTGCGGACTCTAATCTGGGAGAACCGGGTTTGATTCCCCCACTCCTCCTTCACTTGCACCTGCTGATGTGACCTTGGGTCAGTCACAAGCTCTGGCACAGCTGTTCCTGAAAGAGCAGCTTGTGTCAGAGCTCTCCCAGCCCCACCCACCTCACAGGGTGCCTGTTGTGGGGAGGGGAAGGGAAAGGAGTTTGTAAGCCGCTCTGAGACTCCTCTGGGTAGTGAAAGGCGGGGTATAAATCCAATCTCTTCTTCTTCTTCTTCTTCTTCTTCTTCTTCTTCTTCTTCTTCTTCTTCTTCTTCTTCTTCTTCTTCTTCTTCATCCGCTTTTAAATAGCTAATCCTTTCTAAAGTTGAATTGTTTCTGTGGGTATTTAAGCGCTGCCCTTTTCGCCTTTCTTTCTTTAGCCCGACGCTCCCTCCCTCTTCTGTTTTCTTTCCCTCCTTCTCCAAAGACAAAGGATGGCCACCCTCCTCTGGCAGCGAATTCCACATTTGAATCATTCCCTGTGTAAAGTAGTCTTTCCTTTGGTCCATCCTTAACCCACTGCCTATCTCTAGTTCTAGTATTTTGGGAGAGGGGGAAAAAATTCCTCTTTGTCAAGTCTCTCCACCACACGCATAATTTTATTATCGGGTTCTTTTCTCCTAATGTGAGTGGTTCTCCATGACATCTCTAGTAATTGACTTAATTGGATTTACAGGTCTTAGAATAACAGGATGGAAATTCTTCCATTTCAACAGACCTTACAATTTAATTTATTGTTGAAGAGCCCCTGAACCATTAAGCTGTGGAAATTACGAAGTGTGATGCTTACAGGGGGAAAAGTGATGTTCATGGGGGGGGGGGGGGGGTTTCAAACGAAAATTAAAGAGAAGCCAGTGTTGGATCAGGCCAATGGCCCATCCAGTCCAACACTCTGTGTCACACAAAAATACCAGGTGCCATCAGCAGGGGTCATTTCGTAGACAAAGAGGTGCAGGAGCTCATTAGCATAACTTATTTGCATATGCCACACCCGCTGACATCACCAGAAGTGTGTCAGAAGGCAACACCCACCACTCAGGCTCCAGTGGACTGTTTTGGATTGCTAGCTATTGGGTGTGGGGAGGGGAACATGCAGATCTGTCCTCACAGAGGAGGGAGAGCTGGTACCTGAAGACCGGCCGGGGGGGTGTCTCTGCAACTTACCTGGCTGCTTCTTGCTCTTCGTGGCCTGACTGAGGGCTGCTGGGAGCAGGGGGCGGGGCTTGTTGCATGTGCCCGCCTCCTGGGCTCCTTACTGCCGGAGCTCTGCACCTGTGCGCTTCCACAGGAAATGACCCCTGGCCACCAGGAGGTCCATCAGTGGGGCCAGGACGCTAGAATTTATATTTTTGAAACGCTAACATACAGTTTTTGAAATGTGAAGAATGCATTGAACTAGAGCTCTGAATTCTGAATCTGCTGGCAGGCAAAAACAAAGATTGGAAGAATTCATTAAGGGTCAGCTGGGGTACTGGAAAGAAGCTGATGGGCACGATCCACCAGAAGGGGCTCCTTGCACGAGCCTCACTGGAATGTGGCTGTGAGATCATTTGCAGAATTCAGTGAAGGTTGTTTCAATAACATACAGAAGATCTCTTGTATGGCTCCCTAAAAGCCCTTTCCTGAGAGTAAGCCCCATTGAATAACGCAGGACTTGCTTCTGAGTAGACCTGTTTCGGGCTGCTCCTTAAATCAGTTTGATTTTGCTACACAAGGGTAACACAGTTACCCCTCTGGAATCATGGTTTAATTTGTCTGGAGGCCATGTGGGTGTGTGGGGGAGAGGGCAAGTCTTTCTTCGGAGTGCTCTTTGGGGATTTCGGAAAGGGCCGAGGACATCTCCTCTGTTCCCACTTGGCAGGAAACAGCTCAGCCAAAGCTACGACCCTGCTCGGCAAAGACATGAAATGAACAAATAAGGAATACATTGTGGATACTTTTTTAGAAAGCTGCAAAAGAATACCATTAGTGTGAGACGTGGGGAATGTACTGAAGTATAAAGATTCATGGCAAAATCTGCTGAACTTGAGCTAAGATTTAAGACCCTGGCGCTGCAAGAACTGAGTTGTTTTGCCAGCTAGCTAAGCTGTAGATTAATCTTCACATATATAATATCAGGAATACGCAGGGGTCATTTCGTAGAAAAAGAGGTGCAGGAGCTCATTGGCATAACTCATTAGCATAACCTATTTGCATACTCCACACCCCCTGACATCACCGGAAGTGTGTCAGAAGGCAACACCCACCGTTCAGGCTCCACTGGACTGTTTTGGATTGCTAGCTATTGGGGGGGGGATGTGCAGATCTGCTCTCGCAGAGGAGGGAGAGCTTCTACCTGAATAAAACTTGGACTTAGAAGAAGAAGAAGAGATTGGATTTATACCCCGCCCTTCACTTGGAGTCTCAGAGCGGCTTACAAACTCCTTTCCCTTTCCCTCCCCACAACAGACACCCTGTGAGGTGAGTGGGGCTGAGAGAACTCTGACACAAACTGCTCTTTTTCAAGGACAGCTGTGCCAGAGCTTGTGACTGACCCAAGGTCACATCAGCAGGTGCAAGTGGAGGAGTGGGGAATCAAACCCGGTTCTCCCAGGTTAGAGTCCACACACTTAACCACTACACCAAACTGACTCCCACTTAAAGGTGCCACTGGACTGTTTTGGCCTAGGAGGCTG